TTTAGTAAGGAAGAAAGTAATTTCATTATTGAAAGTACATTAGACACTTGAACTTTTATCCCAATGCTGAATAATGTCAATCAGTGTAGGTTTTTTGTATTGATATTTTAGATGTTTCAATTTGTAATATTACATTTGAAGTTGGAACTTTTTAATATACTATCCTAGGATCCTGTAGTATAAAAATGTTAGCCTGAAATATTATCAAGACATATTTCATTTTGCCTGTGATAAACCCACTGGCAATTCAGGCGAAGATGCAGAATTATTAGAGAGGTAGGGTGTGGAATTTCTCTTGATGTTCTCCCGATAGCTCATGAGGCAACAAGAAACCCCATGGCAGCTGATTTTAGATTTCTTTCTTCCTAATTTATAGACCAAGAAAGGAATTGGATGGAACTTTTAGTATTGTTTCCAGATTGTCTTTCGGTAGTTTTATTAGTAATTGCAGCTACTGCTCTTTGTTTCATGGATTAACTTTACAAGGTGCAATATTTAAACATATTATGACAATTAAATTATATATCAATACAGTTAATTGGTAATGATTTTAAGATCCACAGTTAAGCTTATTTTTTTCAATTACATTCAGGCTGTTTTATTGAGCTATGATGCACTTCATTTTGGAAATGCAGGTTTATTCTGGTAACTTGCCTGGATTTTTATCCTGTTTCCCTGTTGCTTAGCAACACCATAGTATTGCAAAGAAACTGGTACAAAATTAGAGCTGTCTTGTTTTGGTAGTTAATGGAAAGATAGAAGATAGTCTTATAAGAAGCAAGGAAATCTTTCTGTTTTTCTTTCCTATTGCTATAAATTAGCTTCACATGACAGATAATAATACTTTTTTTGTTTTTTACCTTAAAAGGAAAATCTACCTCTGAATCAGTGATTACCTAACAAGATATAAATACAGCATTTCATTATTCATCTCTGGGGCTGTATCAAGAAAGTTTAAGGGGACAGGGTAGTCCCTATTCAGTCATGAGGAAACATTTTTCTTCTTTTTCATGGCAATGGGCCCATCTGCAAACTGAGGGAGTTTTGCTCAGTAGTAGAGATTATTTTACACAGAAATTCTCTCTTCAGCCTCTGCACTTAAAGCAACTGGAAGATTTCTGCATGAGAATTTGAAAGGTTGCTGACAGCTATCATAACTATGGTTCTACAAAATGCTTAACCATGGGTTTGTTTAATATGGTACAATGGTTGTTGGCATATACAAGTAGTCTTTGATTTACAATAGTTCATTTAGTGACCATTCAAAGTTATAACAGCACTGAAAAAAAGTGACTTACTTTTTCACAGTTATGACCTTTGAAGCATCCCCATGATTGTGTGATCAAAATTCAGATGCTTGGCAACTGGTTCATACTTATGACCATGGCTATGTGCCAAGGTCATATGATCACCTTTTGCAGCCTTCTGGCAAGCAAAGTTAATGGGGAAGCCAGATTCACTTAATAACCAGGTTACTAACTTATGAACTGCAGTGATTCACTTAAAAACTGTGTCAAGGAAAGTTGTAAAATGGGGCAAACCTCATTTAACAAATGTCTCACTTAACAACAGAAATTGTGGTAAGAAGTCAAGGACTATCTGTAAAGGTAACCCATAATGTGTAGATCATCACACTAAATTAAAAGCAAACAACTTTATGGATTAGTGTGACTGTGGACTAAATGATCAAATTGTATGGCTTTTAAGATTGACCGGAAATCTGGATAGTCTTCTAGAAAAATTAATGAA